CAATCTGTCTGACAGGGTTGTTAGGTGATAAAACACATAAAGCACCTAGAATAGTGAGTGCTATATAAATCTTGTTTGTGTTAGCAATTTTTCGTATCAGTATTTCAGGTACAATGGACAATGTAGGTTGCCCAACCAATGTTCGTTTTCTTCTTCTGCCTTCCTAACAGATCCTTTGTTCAGATATCTTCTCCTTGCCCTTGGAGCCCATGAGACTTACAGGTGCTAGCTGGATTCTCAGCTCCAAGGACAGAACTCTAAATGTACTAAGCCAACTATGTTGATCCATTCTCTACTGCTAAGAATAGGCAAATAATCCAGTTCTGGTCAATTCAATTCCAGATGTTTGAGACTTCTGGAAGGGATTCTCATTTTTAAAGACAGTGACAAAAAATCTGTCTCTCTTGCTAGACATGAACCAGGAGACACACTGCCCTGATTTCTGCTGATTCAGCTAAGGAGAATTAGTGAGCGAGTGCCCCAGTTTCCTGACTGCATGCCCGAAACTACCATACAGCTGGATTTTCAGTTATGTGAACCAATCAGATCCCAGTGATTTAGGCCAGCTGACTTGTTTACTTATTCATTTTATTTGCAGCTGAAAGTATCCGAACTGACACAGATCAATCATAACTGCCAAAGAGAATTCTAGTACTAGACTATGATTTCTGGTATCCTGCAGTTGGAGAAAAGGGATCATGGAAAGTGGGGAAATAAAAAAACGTTTTGGAAAAATGTTAAGAATGTGATTTTTAGAATATGTATTCAATAGATATCAAATGTATATTGTCACCCAGAGATTACAAAATTTTCTTTTTTGAAAGAATGGCAAGGGCTAAAGGATGGATGAAGCAGTCTCCTAAGAATGTTAAAATAACACCAAAATGAGAAGAAGAACTTCACACACTTCTTCACTGTGGAAAGTAATAATCAGTTAAATGTAGGAGACAGTATTCAGTACCCCAAACCTGTGGACAGAGGTGAGAGTTCATCTGGATGTAATTATCAAGTATAATGGGCACAGAGATAGAATGAAATGTAAGGGAAAGTAATGGTACCATTACATAACTCAAAGATTAAGTAATATCCCACCATCACTGCTATTTAGCCTGCCACTGGCTAACTCATTATCTTGAAAAAAAATCTTAGTTTTCTCCTCTATGTATAATAAAAAATTTTTCTGGTCTTTGTTTTGAGTTCCTGGCTCCTGGCCTCTACAACTCTTGCAATTTTCTGAATGATAGGACTATCTTCGTTATTCATAAATCCCTTGGATTGCATCTGATTATATGCTAATGAGATGGCTCAGGATGGGGACTGCTTACCAGAAAGACCAGACCTATGATTAGAGGGTTGGGGTTTTGAGTCACCCTGACCTTAGGGTGCTATATAGTAAGTGCTATATAAATGTTTTTTTGTGTTAACAATTTTTATAGGGCTTGGAGATGAACTTCAATCATATGGCCAATGTTGCTACGTAAAGAGACCAAGTAAAAACTCTGGAAACTGAAGCTCAGTTGGGTATTCTGATTGGTGGACACATTGATAAGCTGGGAGGGTGACGTACCCTGATTCTATGGGTAGAGGGCACAGAAGTTCTGTTTTCAGGACCCTCACAGAACACCCCATGTATCTCCTTTTACTGATTTTGATCTGTCTCCTTTATAATAACACTATAATTGTAAGTACAGTGCTTTCCTGAATTATGAGTCATTATAATGAATTATTGAAACTGAGAGGATCATGGGAATCCCCAAATTTGTAGCTGGACCCCCCAATGTGTGAAGTAAGGGCAGTTCTATGGAGGGCTGAGCCCTTAACTTGTGGCATCTGCACTAACTCTGGGTGGTCAATGGCAGAACTGAACTGCTGTACACCAATTGGTGTTGGAATACAATCTTTTGTAAAATAAAAATTTATTACCATTTTTAAAGTCAGTGGAAGCAATGTTTAGAAACAAAAAGTTTTCTCCCAAAATAGTACTTGATAATTCATCTTCATGCCACTTTGAAGAAAGCATTTTAACCTTAAATAATAGTAGCAATGGCTCTGGCTTCTTTACTTTTACTTGTAATTAGGCAAAACTGCAAAACATACCCACATAAAAAAACTTTTCACATCACCCAAATCTTACGCAATTACAATTCTGTAAATGGCATTCACTTTTACTTGAAAAGTAATACCAATGTTGACCCATCACAGTTGTTGCAAAAATATAAAATGTAAATTTTATTCCAGGGACCTAATTATATGATTTTGTGCAGTTCCTTTTTCTGTAGTGCTGTTGACAGTGAGAAGAGGGATATGCTGGGAGCTGCTTCCTAGTTGTACTGCTGAACTTGGGCTGACCCTTACTCCATCTGCAAACTGGCTCTGATTAGGTGAGTATTCTGTAGCCAAAGAACAAGCAAAACCAATTACAAAGGGGTTCAGCTTGCCCCCACTGATGCTGAAAAACCAACCTATGTAACTTTGAGATGAGGGGGCTTATAAAAACAACCCAGTGGAAATCAAATGGAGTTTTCATTCTGAGTTTCTCTATTTTTATTTGTATATAATATCCAGTAATTTCTTTATCTCATGAGTGGGTGTCAGAATGGGACGGTAATGTGATTGGCAGACAGATGCCAACAGACATTATTAAAGGATATAAAGTTTCTTTCATGACAAAGTATATAGAAACTCACTTATACCCAGACATCTCTGCAATAAACAGCCCAGCGTGACCCAGCGTGCTCTTAGTCTGAGATGCAGGCCTCCCTGACTCTCTGGTGCCCTGCTATGCCACTGACTCACTGGGATGCAGATCTCATTTCATTCCTGAAGAAGCTCCCACACCCCTACTTTTAATGATCTTTCTATCCTTCTGACTCCTCTGACCTCTTAGGTCCTGGCTATGTAGTTGCCTGCTTGGCACACTGCTGTAGCTGAGTGAGGGAATGGAAAATTGAGTCCCAGGTGTATCAGTCTCTAGCAGGACCTGGGCTATAAGATGACGACTATTCCTGCACCTCTGACCTAAATTTCTGTGCCTTATGCATTTATTTTATAGATCTCTGGGACTACAATTAAATAAGAGAACAGACAGATAAAAAAAAATTTAGAAATAGTGTTTAATAGTGTTACACATCTCTGTGACCTGGAAAGTAAGATTGACGTTAAGATTTGGCTACTAATACTAACCAACTAACCATGTAAGTGGCATGACAGGGTAATCTGTTGGAAATGGAATGAAGAAGAAAAGTGCTTCACTATAGCCCTCAAAGAAATACTTTGTAATTTAAAGAATTTGCTGAAATGAATACTGAAATGGAGGCTCAGAGGAAGCAGAAGGTCCCAGGGCTGGGTAAGGAGTGGCAAGGATGACTTGAGTACATAGCAGCAGGGGTGTATTAGTTTGCTGCTAAAACAAAGTACCACAGTCTGGTCACAGGCTGGGTGGTTGGAACAACAGAAATTGTTTTTCTCACAGTTCTGGAGGCTGGAAGTCTGAAACCCAGGTGTGGGCAGAGCTGGTTCCTTCTGAGGTCTCTCTCCCGACTTGTAGATGGCTGTCCTCATGTTCACATGGTGGTCTCCCTCTCTGTGTGTCTATCCAAATTTCCTCTTCTTAAAAAGACACCAGTCATACTGGATTAGGGGCCACACTAACTGACCTCATTTTAACTCATTTACTTCTCTGAAGACCCCCATCTCCTACAGCCACACTCTGAGGCTCTGGGGGTTAGGACTTCAACATCTGAATATTTGAGGGGAAACAAGTCAGCCCATAACATGGGGCTAGCGAAGGTGGGAATTAAATCTTTTGAAAAAGAAGAGGGGAGAGGAAAATGTCCAGGAATGTAAAGAAGCAACGATTCTAGGTTGCTCCTAAGAAAAAAGGTGGAGACAAAGTCTGCAGGGGGTACAGTGGGCTGTCAGGGCTGCTTTAGAGACTGCCCCAGAAATTTAGATATTTTCCATCCCTTCTGTTACAGGCTTAAGTTCTTAAGAATCTTAAAAATGTTATTATGGTTATTAGTAAACCAAGTGTTTTCATTTTACATTTATGTCTGAACTTTATGCTTCCATTTAAAGCCAGGAAATTTTAAAAAATCAATATATAAAATGTCAGCACTTTCATATATTAATTTTCTTTGGATCAAGGAAATTAGTTTTGAGAATGTAAGGATAAGCAGAATGTGTTCATGTAGCTGTTGGTACTCAGCTTCATGGGACACATGGAATAAAACTAGCAGAATACAGGCAGAAGTGTATTTCTACAGGGAGGACCTGATGAGTCATGCTGAGCATAGTCATGAGTCTAGTGAAAAGAAGAGCCTGCTTATGACACCGATGGGCACCTGCAGAGTTGCTTAGGGGTCCTACATTAAGACTAGCTGTGTCATGCTAGGATAAAACTGAGGAGGGGTATATTTGTAGCACCTATAAGCCAAGTCACCTACAGATATATTTACATGAGGGACTAAAAAGCCTTTTGGGAGTCAAAACTCATATATTTGGTCTAAGGCAATGTCAGGAACTGTGAACAATCTGAGATTTCACCCTGTGAGTAAGCTACAAAGCTAGCCTGCTACATGGAGGCTGGTATATGTGAAACTCCCAAATCAGAGACAGAATATAAGCATTTTTTCTTTAGTTTGCAGAGTTCCAATTCCCTACACATGCAGGGTACAGTAACATTAAGAAAACAAGTTCACACTATTGAAAAAGGCATAAATTAACCATGTTTTATTGCTAAAATAAAAATATAAAATAGGTAGATTTCCCTGTTACTAAAGTAAGGAAGATTTTCACATTACTTGGAGAGCTTTCATTTGGCCGTCATTAACTGTTAGGTCTCAAATAACAATAATGCTTAGAGACATTTTATTTTTGTGTACTGTAGATGTTTAATGCGCTCATTTGTGATTTCCTCTTCTATTTGGTCTCAGGGGCAAACTTTTTTTTTGTTTTTTTTTTTGTTTTTTTGAGAGAGCATCTCTCATATTTATTGATCAAATGGTTAACAACAATAAAATTCTGTATAGGGGAGTCAATGCTCAATGCACAATCATTAATCCACCCCAAGCCTAATTCTCGTCAGTCTCCAA